CATGAAAACAGCTGATCCTGCAGATCAAGAGCAGCGGTCCATGAGAGGGAATCTGGGGCCAGAGGATGAGGGAAAGGTAACTATTTTGTCATGAAGGATGGTCACTTTTAACAAAGGACCGCTTTTAAATAAAGCACAAGCCTTAAAACTTCTCTTTGTGTGGAACTCGGAAAATACCGAGACGAAAATCTTTTTCTTTATACCCTGTATTAGTAGCATCCAATCTTACAGAAAGGTGTAACAAAGGACGCAGCTTTTGCCATTATGATCAGTAAAATGAGCTCCTTCAGTAAAAGGAGCTTTTCCTTCAGTGGAGCGGTGGGAGAACTTCAGTCACGCTGTCATTAAATAGCCTAGAGCAGGAACTAGATTAACCCTTTTTTTGGTTTGGTTTTTTTTTTAAGTACTCTCTTAGATTGGTTTAATTGGATTCATAGCCTCTTACAGATGCTGTATTTTTTCTTCAGATGCTATTCTGAGAAAATAAAGTTGCTAATACTCACCTTTTTTAATAATCATGGCAAGATTTCAGAAAGGTCAATGCACGAAGCCTACATTTCTTGCTATTAAGCTGGTACTCATGTACCATTTTAGGCAATTAGTAAGTAAGGATTGTTACACTGGGAAACAAAAGAAAAAAACACGCCAAATCAATTTTCTTTATTCACATGAAAATTGAACTAGTAAAAACAGTTTATGTAAGTGTTTAATAATTACCCCAAAAGGCAGGAAGCGTGTGTCATTACACATTGCAAAGAACCTCAGAGGAGGCTGGGCTGGCTCTATCCTGTATGCCCTTTGATGTAGGCATATGGCTGTACAGGATTCACGCACCTTTCCAGCAAGAACTGCTAAAATGTACCTACTTAAAATGTAAGGCTTTACAGCAAAGCATCTGTTACTGCAGCATATAAAAAATTATTAAACCAAGACAAGGATTATTACAGGAACAGTAAGATGGATAAGGAACTAATTGAACGGAAGGGGGAAATAGATCAGGCTGAAAAGGAATTACTAATGATGTTTGGGAACGGCACCTTATTTAATATTTTCATTAATGACAAAGTACAAAAAACCAAGCATAATCTAATGAAATTTGAACATGTTTGAAACTTGAACAAAGTTGACAGCAATATCAAACAAAGGACTAGAATTTTACATAGGAAGAATTTAGCAATGTGAAGTTGGAAGTAAGGTAAACGCCATGAAATAAATAAGTATAAAGTCACATGTTTGAGAACCAAGTTATTTTGCTGAAAACGGTGGTCCTCTGGTTAAAAAAAAAATGGCACAGGAGAAAAAGGCTGGTAACACCTTCTACTTCCTAGAGTCATAAGCAGTAAAAAAATAATAGTAACAGAACTCCTGCTGCAATACTGTTTTCAAAAAATGCTAACAGATATAACAGAAAGTGCATTTCCACTGTAAAGTTTCTTCAGTACTAATGCATATAAGTTCTGCAGCTTTTCTAGAACCATGATGTGGAACTGGACAGAGAGAAATGGCCCACTGTTATTAGAGAAGACTAAGGACACTTCTATGCCGAACAACCTAAGCCAGCAAAAAAATCCCAATGACTGCTGAGTAAATTAAAGCTAAAATTACACAGCTTTGTGAAGCCTAGGGCCGTGCCTAGGGTCATGCTCAGACGAGCACCAACACAGCTACACAGAGCTCAGGACTAAGAAGTCTTATCTGAAGTAGATTAGGCAAGATTTGTGCCTATTTGCAATGGCTTAATGAAACTGAAGAACTGCTGGCTGCCTGTGGAAAGTTTTGCAGCTGTTCTTGAAAGTTGCCCTTGACCAGCTTAATTGTCAAGACATAAGTACTAAGCCTTGCTCTTCTGTCTGAAATGGGCAGCTACCGCTGCAGGTACTCGTAGCACAGGCACGGCAGGACACTGTACAATGGTCCGGTTCACAAGACACCGGAGCAGATCAGCAAATAATACAAGGTAGTTGGTGTGTCTCGTGATTTCACGTTGCAGTCATTATCATAAGTATTCTTGACTAAGCATTTATCAAGTGAGGGGAAAGATTTTATCAAAATTAGTCTCTCTGATTTCCTTCTGTAAATCAGAAGACCTCAAAGCACTTGACAGCAGCAGCACATGTGAGTTTAAATGCAAAGTGAGTTGCAGCTATCATGGGAGTAAACAGCAGGTGCAAGGCAGATTTTTTTCTTTTCCTTGGCAAGTCTGAAAGTTTGTGTGCTTGGATCCATACCTGAAGACATTTATTTGCTAAGGAAGAAGCCTGAAATCTCCTGCTTTATCTTTAGCTCATAATTTGAAGCTGTGATAGATGGAAGACTGCTGGACTTTGTTTCCCAGCCAGACAACAGAGCAAATGAACATTGTCGTCAGAAACAGGACCAAGTCCCTACAAATAAAGTTAGAACATGGAAGATTACTGCAAATACTTTAAAGCTATTGCTTTCTTCAGTAATATTTATACTGAATATATATGCACGAAGGGGAGAGCTATAGGCATGCCACTTACAGGTACAACTGTGACTAGAAATTTTTTTCTTCAGGCAGTTGTACGTTAACAGTGACTGCCAAGGCAAGTTGCTCAAAGGAGTATTTTAGAATGGTGTTATCCTGTTCATATTTCAAGCATTTTTTTATATCAAAGTCAAGTTCAACTTCTTGAAAAAGCTGAACAGATCTCAAAGGCTCTGTCTTAAAATTCTGGGAAGTTCTCAGACATACAGTCAGGATAGTGCTGCTGGCTGAATACCAAGATTATTCCATAACAAAAACCAAAGACCAACTCCTCTCCCCCAACTGCCCTGCAGCAGTACTTCCAATTAATCAGGTGAAACAAATGTTTTACAGGTTTCCAAAAGATAGCTCAGCTTAAGGAACATACTATTTATTTATGTCTTCAAAACAGAAGGAAAATGTAAGGATTTAACATTTTGGCAAGACTTAGTTTGCAATGAGAACAGCAAGTAAAACCTAGAACTTAGGATATTTTTGTGAAATCTGCCACAAAGACCCAAGGAGAAAGCACTGACAGACCTTGGCTCAAGGAATCCTAAGAACATCATTTGTGTTGCAGAAATCCAATGTTTTTTCATCTGTCAGAGCAGTTATAATAGAACTGGACTAGGAATTGAGCTGAAATCTATACACCAGCTGCACGACTAACACAAAACCATTTCAACGCTCTTGAGAACCCCTTGAGTACCAGCCACCAGGAGGACAAAGGTATATCTTTAAATTTTCTTACCCTTCCTAGCAATATCACCTCTGAGTTCTTCAGAAGAAATCTGCGTATTTCTGATGCTGGTATTACCTTCATTTCTTTCAGGCTCAGGGACATTACATCTGTAACAAGTATTCCATGAAAAGTGAAAACTGAAAAAGCAGTATTATACACTGAGGAAAAACAAGGCAATAAATCTGGACTCTCTTCTAATCTAATAGTATGAGCAAATACTGAAAGACTGAGAAGCAGGAAAAAGAAACTGTGATTTACATATTCATTAAGTAATTTGTATAATCAAAAGATTTAAAAGGTCATTACTGGAACACCTGCCTGTTAACAGATGTAGAAGAATGAAGGCCAAAGAACACAGTTTTTATAAAGATGCTGGTAGATAAACAGTTGGCAGATCTACAGATACCTGCTGTGGCGGCATTAGTCTTTTTGGCTCAGGCTGCTGTTGTGGATAAGGTAAGTCTTCTGGAATTCATGAATCCATACACATCCTGACTTGCCTGTTGCAAAGCCTGACCGTTGTTTATTAGGAATTTGATCGCATTTAAATAACATTCCAGTTAAATAAGGTTTTATCCAGTAGGGAAGTTTTATGCACTAAGGTCAAGTATGAATTTGATTTAAAGCAGAATGTAGTTCATTGCACTTGACAGAGCAAATACTAGAAAAAAAAATCTTACAGTCTCATGCCACAGAAAGAAAAACAGCACAATAGATGCCTGTTTAGATAGATGGGAGTACAGCACTGTGCACAAATCTTAATCAAGAATGAGGAGTCTGTCTTAATTGGGCTAAATTTGTTAATTTCTGTTTCAGTGCCACTCTGCAACATTGGAGACCTCAATGAGCCATTTGCATAGATGCACAGTGAGAATCACCTCGATTAATTGTAGATAACTTAGTGTTAGATACCCAGGTCTAAGCTGGTCACCATATGCTACTTTTAGTCTGTGGCTGAAGCATTTTCTGGGGATTCCTGTTTGGTCTCTGTATTAGGTTTGAGTGGCAAGGTTTTGGTAGTGGGGGGGGCTACAGGGGTGGCTTCTGTGAGAAACTGCTAGAAGCTTCCCCTGTGTCTGATAGGGCCAACGCCAGCTGGCTCCAAGATGGACCCACTGCTGGCCAAGGCCGAGCCCATCAACAACGGTGCTAGCGCCTCTGGGATAACATAGTTAAGAAGGGGGGAAAAAAAACCCAAAACACCGGGACACAAACTGCAGCTGGGAGAGGAGTGAGAATATGCGAGAGGAACAACTCTGCAGACCCCAAGGTCAGTGCAGAAGGAGGGCACGATGTTCTCCAGGCACCAGAGCAGAGATTCCCCTGCAGCCCTGGTGAGGCAGCTGTGCCCCTGCACCCATGGAGGCCCACGGGGGAGCAGATACCCACCTGCACCTGGGGAGGACCCACAGTAAAGTCTTTGCTAAGAACAGGAAGGATGACATTCTCTGCTCTCTCTTCTTCCACAAAACGTTGGTTAAGCAGAGTTTGCCCCTGGTGAGTTCATGGCATCTATTCTCAATCACCATTTTGTCCTTCACACGTCTCAAAATAAAATTAATTTCCATAACCTCTAGGAATATGCTCTATAGTCTTCCCAGGGACTGAGGTTACGTGCCCAAAGTATGTAAGATAGAATTTTTTTTTTTTTTCATAAAAACAAATATACCCATTTTTACATCCCCCCCAATAAGACATTTTTAGACAGAATAACCTCTTTACAGCTGTTGGAAAAATCTTTACTATTACATGATTTCTATACATATTTTTATACATTTGGCTGCTTTAAATGTACAGAGTAAGAGAAAACAAACGTTAACTATTAATAAGTTTACAAGATAATCCTTTTTAAAAAGCAATACATCTTCCTTTAATTTTCATGACAAAAGGTTCTGCATGGTCAAGGATTCAAAAATTCATCCAAAATTTTCAGAGATGATTCATACAGGATTCTGAAATGGCATAAAGCAATGCATAACAGGATTAGATATGCTAAATGCTAAATCAGTCCTCGACTATTTGATTCTCAGAGTATAGCTACCACATGATTTCTTTGACAAGTTATTCCATACTAGTTTAAGTATTAAATATGCCTTTACAAATTACTTTTGAAATAGCTGGGGTTTTTTTCTTTCAACTTTTCCATTTCTGCTGATCATCTCTAGCTATAGTGTAATCTACAGCAAGCCAGTTTAAATTACTATGTCAATTCAAGAACATTTGCTAGTATTTCATGATCTATTTAAAGAACCTACTCGTTTTCTTCACAGCATTTTTACTCTTTTTTTCAAACATAAATCATCAAATCCTTTACCAATAATTCATACTAAGGCCATTTTTCATTCTTTTACTTTCTTCCTTTCTCCCTCATTCTTCAGTGTTCAGAATTTTTTTCCTCACCTGTGGCAGTTTTTTTTCCAAGTCTGAGCTTTCTATCTTATCCTTATTCGCAGCTGCCTCCTTCAGCTGCATATGCACCCATCTTAGTCCCTTTCTGACTCTCTTCTGGCTCACATTACTCCCTAAACAATCTCAAAGGTCAGCTCTGAAGTTTCCATTTGGCAGGCCCTTTTTATTTTCTTGCATTCCCTGACACAGTCACTCATCTAGCCTTCATAGTTGCATTCTCACGCAACTTCTCCTAACACTGCTCTAGAAGATCCTCTAGAAGATCCTCAAAAGACAAAAATGGGCACTTTGTTCTTCTGTCAAAACTTTATTTCACTGTTAACCACTTTATCCTTCACATCACTTTTGTAAAAGATTGTCACCTGTATTTCTTAAGCATTTTTTTCTCCATATTCTTCTTATTATAGTCCTAGACTGATGCCCCAAATAAGCAAGGTTTGTCAGTCATTAATCATGATGAGTTAGGGCATTCATCATGAAACACCAAGTCCTGAAATACAAGAGGCAACTCTGCATTTTCATAGCTGTATAGTGGATGTTAGGGCTCCCTGAATTCAGACGGCCACAGGGGTCTCACACGCTCCTCTTTATAGTGCTGTATCCTTTAAGCCATGATGGAACTCAACTGTCAAAATAAGCTAGTATTATAATGTACTATAAAATTAGCATAATTAGTTAAGTACTGTGGTTTTACACACAATGCTGCTTTGTATAAATTTTATTTGGTTACAATTTAAGGCTAACAAAACAAGAGATCTGTGACACTGGAGCACGTACCAGCAGCACCCTGGACAGCAAGCCAAAATTCAGAGTAACTGTACGCCTCCCCAGACAGACAAATTTAAGTCAGTTTTACCAGGTACCTTGCTGGAGAACTTTCAGATAGGTGGCAGACAAATCATACACAAAGTTATATTACAAAACAATTCAAGAATCGTTATTTAGAGATGCAATGAGAGTGCAATAAAGAGTTTGGGAAGCTAGCTAAATGGTAATACTAAAGAAATATCTTTCAGCACAGCCATTAGCTAAATTTAAATTCTAATACCCATACATCAAAATCCTGATTAAAGTAAACAGAAAATATTAAGTCAAAGGTAGCATTCTGTAGCTCATTTGTGTTTATAGAGCATGGAACATTTTCTCTAGCTTCCAAATCACTGCACTGACAGCTTTTTTTTTTTTTTTTTTTTTTTGCTAGGCATAAATATTTGCATTTTATAAACTAAACTAATGTGTGTGCCATTACTCTTGAGGAAATTCTCTCAATATACAATATGTTGTCCAGAATTTTTAAGTGCACTGAACAGCATTTTTAAAATAATAGACCCACAGGGCCATCTTAAACTGCTAACTCAGCTGAAGAGGGAAGACTAAATTACAATGAAAAGTTTTGCTTCGGAATTAGTGCAACAATTCCTCCTTTAAGGGCAGCACTTTAATTACTACACCAGACAGCACTTTTGCTTTTTTCTTTCTCTGCTAATATGTAATAGATTACTTCTAAGTCCAAATTTAAGATGATGGCACAGAATGCCAAGTCTCTTGGGAAATTAAAGAATGTCACTATTTCCTGGTATACCTGGGTATTAAATAAAATAATCCCTGAAGGAGTTATTATGAGATAATGCATTCAGAAGCAAAAAGTAATAATACTCTTAAGTATGAGTTTAAAAAACCCAGTAATACATTTTATCACGCATCAGTGCAGCACTGTGCATCCTAAGATTGTGCTGAAAGTAAGGATCAGAGACGTAGCTTGCAGCATACCATAACTGAAATTTTGGGGTTTGGTAAGCAGAGTAGGATGATAAAATAGTTTACAAACAACAGGGCACATTTCGGACTGTATATCATATAATCGCATTTCAGTTATACATTAGCCCTGTAGTACCAGAGCACTACAAATGGCATGTCAGAAGACAGTAGAGGCCCAGTCTGGTCCAACATTATGTCTATCTGAGAACGTGCAAACACACTTTAAATTCGCCAAGCAAAACTTAATCATTGAATAACTTCCTCGCAACCTTTTTTCAGCATGAATTCTTTTACCTTCTGGAGAGAAAAAATCCCCAACGTACCTGTACAAATATGAATCCTCACAAATTCTGCAAAGCTGTGTGATAGCTTCTGAATGTTATCATATTGCAGTTCTGGTTCTTGTTAAAAATACTTCCCGTCATCATGTCCATATTCCTAATCTTTTAATTATCTGCAACTATCTCTTGGTTTTGTATTATACAAAGGCAGCCATTCATATATCACAACATTAAAACACTGTGTAGCATCTTGTGCTCTTCATCTGCCCCAGCTTCTAGGTTGATTTGTCCCTGTTCACTGGGCAGAGATTATCACATAGATTCATGAAGCAATTATCTGTGTTCTTACTGAAATTTATAGTCAGTAGTGCACTCAAGTGGCAGCAATTACTCATTTTAATGTGCCTATTTATTTAATCATGTTAAGATTTGCTTTAATTCCTCAGCCTTTTCTACTGTCTTGATTAACAGAAGTGCAAACTGAATCATAATACTCTGCTGCTCACCTTTTTCTTCCAGATCATTATTATTATTTTTAAAAATATTATAGTAGAGCACGTGGCAACCCAACGTTAAATGATTTAATGGAAAAAAATAATTGTTTTTTGTTTATTTTTGTTTGATTTTGTTTCTAAGCTAGGTCCCAACCAAAAGAAATTAGTTCACAGCCGAGCAACTAATTAAAAAACATCTACCCAGGAAGCAGAGTCACTCTGAGTTTTAGAAGTACAATTATGTAGTCATTTTGGTTTTTAAATAAGGTATATTTTGGTTCTTTATCAATTTTATGGTACATGAGCACAGTGTCCTCTGTGGAAACCACTCAAAGTCTTGACAGCAAAATTTCTGTTTTCTATTTACTTATGCCAGACAGGAAATGGCAGTGAAGGGTGCTTTGGTTTTAATTTTTTTCCCCCTTCTTTATTTTTTTTTTTTTTTTTAAAATAAATGTCATTTTTGATGGTGCATAACTGAAGTGGCTCGTATATATCATGAAACTTTCTGGTTTAGTTCTTAAGATTATATATCTCTTTAAAGAGAGTTACAAAATACCTTTCTGGCTCTGATACAGTAGCAGATTTAAATGAACGAATGCATATTCTGTTAGCAACAACACAGCTACTCTATTGTATTGTCCTAAATATCAGGCTTCTTTTTTTCCCCCTGGAAAAATCCAATTTACCTTCTGCACTTCTGAACCAATTCCAGATGGATATTTACTGTACAGCCCTCAAAGTTCTACCACTGCCAGAACACTTTGTGTAGCTGTTGAGCTTCTTGATAGAAATCAAGTGCAAACTGTAAGGATTTGAAATATCATAATAGGAAAGGGGTATTGCCCATGTGGCCTCCTTGATAAACTATCTTATTTTTCATAGCGTAGCATCTCATAACTTTAGTTTAAATCAGTGACACCAGTTCAGTCATAGCAGAGCCGCCAAAGGCCTATGTCTCGTCATTACAACAGGCCTCAGGGTAGCGCTCCGCCAGATGAGCGTGCTGTTGAAGTGTGCTTAGGTCTGAAGGGCCACGCAAGAAACTGTTGAGTAAAATGAAGTGAGGTTTTTTTTGTTTGTTTTGCTTTTTAATTTAAAGTCTGCCTACTCTGCATCCATTGTTTGACTAAATCGTAAGGATCATCAGTTTGAAGAATTAAAGATTATTCAGGCCACTGTGGTGCATTAATAACTTTCTCAGTAGTTTTTGATGTCTATAACCATAGTCTGTTTTCTTCATAGTCTATGTCTGTGCCTTTTAATGTCTACTTTGCATGTTTCCTAATTCCATGGGCAGCAATCAAATTTTAACAAATTTTTAGACTTAAGCAAGTTTGAGACACTTAAGGCTAAAGCATTCATCGTGACTGTCTATCTTAGGCAGGTCTGAAATAAGTGATTGCAAATACAATCACTTTCAAGAAACTCATCCCAAAGAATTTTAGAGTCAACCAGATATGACACCAAAATCCCCAAAAAGAGCAAAATAAAATCACCTGTGGAAAGGTCTTAAAGTCATTGTTATATTCAGTTAAATTTTTACCATCTACATAGGTATGGATTCATATGCCTAATACCAAAATGTGGGAGAAAAATCTTCTAGTAATAAGAAATAGTAAATAGAATTCTTACTTTGTTCTACACCTGCTGCTAACAGAACTGAATTTCGGAACTGAATCCTGCAATATACAGGATCAAGGCGTAACACATTCAAACTAAATGCAAAAATTTAAACTAAATATGTAAAGATTGCAATCACAGCAAATTAGGCAGGAAATTTAGTACTGTGTTGGGCTCAATACCTCACATGTTTTTTACCCACTACTTTAAACGTTGCAATCATTCAGAACGCTCTAACTGTATTATGTAAGTACAGAACACAGTCAATTATTGCAGAGCGGGTACAGGAGAGGATAGTGTTCATTCCCACAGCGCATTTACCTTTCAGTGCTGCCAGATTCTTCTGTGGCAGCATTCTTGCACGTTATCAGCTTCCTTTGAATGGCAGGTGCAATATCCTTCAGAAGTGAAGTTTTGTGCTTACCTATTTGAAATAAGATTATGTTGAAGAGTTGGACAAAACCAATGATTTATCAAAAAAAAAACCCTCTGCACGTTTTCATCAATTTTTTTTTAAACATGAAAGACTGTTTAGTGAAAGATTATATATTAAATTAGATTTTCACTGTCCTTGATTAATTACTGTGTATTTCAGCAAATCAGAATATAGAGATGGACCCTATGAGTTAGCAGACAGTTGTATTTTTAAACTCACATGCAAAGATTGAAAGTCCAGAGCTTAACAATGCAAGTGATATAAGCTTAAATCTGTAGAAAAATGGTAACTTAACAGGATGAGGAAAAGTGCCTGATGAATTGTAGAACTCAACTTTCAAAATGTAGCACATAAAAAAAAGAGAAAAAAAAAAAGGACAAAAATGGTTCAACTGACCTTTAATTATAATCACAATGCAGACAGTGGCTGTTATACTAAAAATCCCTTCAATTTCTTTAGAGAGAATGGACTCCATTAATTCATTTAAAAATGACCTAAGGAAAAAAATAAAGCAAAAATTCATTATAAATCATGTTTCTTTCAAAACAGAACTGATCACAAGTTTGTGATTATGCTACCCTGCCATCATAGCTTCAAAGATACCATGCAGGACAAAGCAGTGGTTATTGGGTAATTGAAGACTATGTGCTGCTTCTGGAACTGAGAATATCTGAGTTAGCAGAATGGTAAATTGCTTGGGAAGAAAAAAAAGTTTGTACACAGAATAAGTAGCTGTTAAGAGAAATGAAGAGCTTGTGGACTATTTTGGGAAAGAATCCATGAAAAAAATACTGGTTTACTGGAATCTAACTTGCGTAATTTGTACTGAAATTTCTAACTTCAAGTTCTACTGAAGTTTAAAAAAGTAAGTTATATGACTCCAATGGTTTGTAAGTAACTACTCATGTGCTTGAAATTATTACTACTTGTAGTCTGATTAGAGTTTAATTAACACTTTGGTCTAAAATGCATATCTCATAAAAATTATGGGTTTCCAATTACAAAACAGTGAAGAATGTTTATAACTAAATATAGCCCTGAAACACTTCCAAACATTTTACATATTGAAAGTATGGACAGACTAACAGAATCAAAAGAACAGTTTATTGTAAAGTCTGAGCTAAATAGTAACTCTAGATGTATCTTAAGAGACTCATTTTTAGCAAGAGATAATACTATTACCAGCAAACTTTAGAGGTGTTTTGGGACACATATTAAGTTAAGAAAAATGAAACGAGTCAAGGAAGAGGTCTACCGACCAAACTAAACTGCAGTATGGAATGAGGCAATACTACAGAACGAAACCGCTAATTAGTCATTATAGTGTTAATGGTAAAAATAACAAATTTAACTCAGAAGCAATTCTCAAAAAAGAGAAAATTAAAAGAACAAGAGTGATAAAGCAGGTGATGAACAAGATCTGTAATCCTCATACTCCCCAGAGGACAAAACTAAATGCTCTGTGAAGAACTAAAGGGAAAACTGAGAGCAGTAGATGTTACAATAACTTTCCCTAAAATATTTCAAAATACCTTTGGTAATATTATTATCTGTTACCAAAACTGAACATCATAAATACCCAGTTCCAACCTTAATTGTTCTTCAGGCTTTTATTGTGCTAAGGTATCAAAATGAAGTATGCTGTTAAGAAAAGAACCAACCTCCACTAGTAAATAAGCTTTGCAGAAGCTCAAATATTGCTTCAAAGAGCTGAGAAAGATGAAACCTCTTTAGGTTCTGAAATAAGTATTATGAAGTCACTCATGCATTGCATTAGTTTTATTATATCATTGTGGACTAGTCTGATGGAGTATCAATTCTATTTCATATTGGTCTTATATTGCTAACTGACGGTATTCCGATCAGAGTTTTGACCTTATTGTTATCACTATTTAGGTCAGTAAGCACACTCTTTAGTTCCATGAAGAAACACTGTAATTTCATTAACCTGTAATAAGACTCACTGCAGACTCAATGCAAGTGCTTTTCCCCACCCTCCCTCTCAACAAGGGTCACATGAGCCTGCAGGCAAAGATAAAATAGAACAGAACGATAAGCTATTTGTAAACACATAGAAGTAAAAGAGATAAGTAATTGGTTCCTATACAGATAGTTCCCTACTAAAGGAAAGGATACTCACACCATTGGTCAGATATTGACAAGTCACTCAGTATTATCACTGGTATAGGGACTGAAATTCAGTGCTAGAGATTGACTAATTAGTAACTGAAAACATAATAGATGCTGCAGAACCTGGCGCAAGATGATCGTGTGCTCACAGAACAGAAGCTTGCATCAGATTCTGTAAGTCAAAGGCTTTTGCATTGGCGTGGAAAGATGATGATTTTCTGAGATACTGAATGATTTACTACTGGACTCTGATTATGGCCTACTAATACAGATGAATAAAAGAAAACAGCCTTAAAAGTAGTCTCAGTCCTGAGGCACCAGTGGAACCAGATATAAGTCATCTCCTGACCTAGATCTTCTTCGCACCAAAAAGATAAATACTAGAAGATAGATACATGTTTACCAAAGTACTCATAGAAACAATCTGGTCCAAACCAGCAGTTTCCTCTGTCAAGAATGGACAAGATTCTCCTCGACCACTACAAGAAAAAGCTTCAGAGGAATTAACTGAATTTCTGCATCTCTTTTGAAAAGATGTGTGTAAAATAATTGTTTCACTAAAAGAGAGCACCTTGATGGACAGCTGCAGCCTCACAGAAGAACAAGATTTGGATTAGGAAGCCTGTTGCTGGACTCCCTGGAGTCCTTTGTTTTGCAAGTTCAACTAGAACTAGAGAAGGATTGAGGAAAAAAAAAAATCTCCTGACAGCAGAGACAGGGATATTCAATGCCTGTCAGATGAGGAAGTTAAGAATAGGAGTTAGTTGTGATAAGTCATGGAGAATGATAGGACTTCTAAGACACATTAGCCCCTTCAACATTCAGAATAACTGGTGTGTATAGTCATGTAAATAAAAATTGAATATAAAAAAACTAAGCAAAGGAGGACAATGAAATTCACTTGTGATTATTTTAGAAGATATTCAGGGTACCCACTAAATAGAGCAAATAAAAAAAAAAGTTTAGGTCTTAAAAATAATGACGTAACCTTACTTTTGGGGGCTTTTAGGACTCATACTTTAAAACTATTTTGAATTTTGTGATTTTAATACAGCTATAGTCCATTTGTCACTACATTGCAGATGTTCAATTAAAGGATTAATGCTATTTCTGGTAAATATTTTATCTCACCCAAATACCTCTATATTGAGGGGACTAGTCATAGAATCATAGAATCTTTTAGGTTGGAAAAGACCTTTAAGATCATCCAGTCCAACCATTAACCTACACTACCAAGTCCACTCTAACCCAATCAAGGGTAGACTAGACTAAATAATGTTTATAAGTATCTTATAAGCAATGTTTATAAGTATCTTATAAGCAAGCCAAGATGTGTGATTAAAGAACTCATTTAGATGAACAGCCTTGTAAATAAGAAGCACTCTTAGAAGCAGTAAAAAAAAAATGGAACCAACCCCCCCAATCAATACCTACAAGCAATATATCAAGGGAAAGGGATTATGAAGTAGTGCAGGTAAATTTAGTAAGCATCTAGTTCCTTAAAGTTTATTTGAATTTAGAAATTAAAACTTTATTGACAACATATAGTCTGTTCTACATTAGCAACAACCTTGGACAAATTAATGTAGAAACATTTACCTGACAACATTAACTGACTTCATAATTATGGCCATTAAACTGCGTGAAAGAGGAGGAAGGTCTGAAATAGTGTTTGGTATAGTTAAGTCTTTTTCACTGGAAGCCTAAAAGAGAAAAATGTCAACAACTGTTGTAGATCAAGAAAGATATGTATGCAGAAAACATTGAAGCAAACCCATATTTCAATAATTACACTAACCAAAACCTATCCTTAAATAATTATAAGAAACATTCACGTGTGTTCTTAGAATAGCCTTTAATCCAATTGTGTTGTGTCCAAATAAACAAAACAAATTTAAATTAGAAAGGCTAAAACTAAACCAAACAAACAGTATTTGTACCAAGGCAAATATTCCCCACAGTTGCTCAGAATAGAAGTTTCATTTAACTGCATTGTTGGTCACTATTTATAAAGGCACAGCCTACTAAACACAAATGAGTATCCTTTGAATCTCCAAGTTTAAGTGTGCATACATAATTTCTAAAAATAACTTAGGTGACAGTGATGCCCTGTGTCATTGCTCTGACATATCCAGCAGCCACAGTAAGACTACAGCCTCTGCTAAAGAACCTCTGCTCTTCCTTGTTAGTTCTCAAAGCTTCCAGTCTTACTAGCCATATTTGCTCCTAACACTACATGCATTAGGAACACACATTGGGAATGTTACCCTTCTCCTTCAAGGACAGTAATTGTTCCTTGGCCTTTTAGCACATACAATAACCTCTGTCTACATAATCTTTTCAGTATTAGAACTTCTTTCTTTACTTTCCAAAGAAACTGAGATCAGATATTTGGAAATCCTCTAAACAAAAAACAGAGGAACCAAAAAAAAAAAAAAAAAGTGGTATGAAAATGGATCTGTATGAAGCAGAGAATGCATAAGTGACCAGTGCCAAGCAAGACATCAGCCTGCTTTGGAACAGGATTACAGAACCTTATGGGACAGTTCCAAGAATAGGGCACTGGAATCTTTCAGAGATCAGTGGTTCACTTCTTGTAGGTTCACCTTCAAAGCGAGGTAGGTTTAGAACAATCTGCCTTCCTCCTCCTTTCCCTGAGCTTTTATTGCTGAGCACAACATCATATGGTATGGAACATGCCTTTGGTCAGTTCGGGTCAACTGTCTTGGCTATGTCCCCTCTCAACCTCTTGGCCCACCCGCAGCCTGCTTACTTTTATTTTTAGGGCAAGGGGTGAAGGGAAGAGAGAAAGCCTTGACACTCTGCAAGCACTGTTCAGCAACAGGCAAAACTAACCAGTGTGCCCTCAACACTGTTTTAGCCACAAATGCAAACTACAGCACCATAGGGACCACTGTGAAGAAAGTAAACTCATTCCCAGCCAGACCCAGTACAAATACACAGAGAGAATCTCTCAAAAAACATGTCGTTAATCTCCAACACTGCCTATTTTCTAAATTCTTCTGTCACAGGCAGATAGTGAACTAGGTATCAGGACAACCCTGTTCTTAAAATGGCTGTATTCATAAATCTGAGCAATGCGCCATAATATGAAATTTTGGCAAATAAAATTCCCGGTTTGTTCCATGCCAGCACACACAAAATCTTGATCTGCAGCACAAAGATCACACTTTCTAAACATAGCTCTATCGTTCCAACATAACGTTTAAAAAGCAGTTAAGGGTAAAAAAAAAGAAAAAAAAAATAGTCAGCATTAACTTTACCTTCTGTAGCACATAAATTATCTCTGCTACTATTGCAGCCAGGAGAGTAGAGAGTACACCTTGGTGAACTGCTGGGCAAGATGAATGCCAGCACTGGACTGCATGTATGAATTCTCCAAGAGGCATTTGAATAGAATGAATCAACTAAAACCAAAGAAAAACAGATCACTTTTTTCAGATTGCTTGAGTATAATTGAAATATTTCAGCAAGCTTCTCTGTGAAGAAGTGCAGAGCACACCTTGAAAGCTATTGAGGTATTCTAGTCACCTGGGATCAGAGGGGGAATCAGCAACATGTTTGGGAAGTCTACTCATAAATTTGAGAGGAAGAAAGAAATTAATGGTTGTAACAAAAAAGAACTGAATGTTTTTCAGAAGTCCTGAAAAGCAGACCATCAAATTTTCCAGGGTGATCCACCCATCTCACTACTATCTAGTCTCTGCTATAAAATACAATAAGCTAACTTTTCTATGAAGATAGAAGGTTTTGAAGAACTTTAGGATATTGTACATATTCTGAAGCTGATATAATTCAAGCTGAAAGAAACATATAAAATAACAATTTCTCCTCCTTCCCAAGATCATAATATATATAATCAAATTCTTTGCTCTGGATTGAGAAAGTTCATTTCATTGCAGATAAGATTAATAATCTATGAGTACTAGGGTAGTTCAGGATCATTGGTAACAGAATGCATTGCTCTCCAATTCACTAGTTTTTCTGTCATGATGAGACCAACAATGGACTAAAAAAACCCATTGGTAACGAGGAAACTTAGAAAATTTAATCAGATGTCGACTCCAGTAACAACCTCAAAGCGTCTTACACATTTGCGTAACAAGTATGGATTCATCTACACATTAGGTAGCAATTTCAAGAGTAATATGATACCTGAATCCCTTCTTCCTGCTGTTTCTTGAGTCTACGAGCCACGCATTCTAAAACTTTCTGAAAGACGGTCTGTACAGCATGGAAAAGATTTGCCACTTCAGCTGTCTCAGTATTCTGAGTTAAAGAAGCTTCAGTAATTTCTTTCAGAGCAGACAGTAACACTGGAGCACAAAAGCCACCTCTCTCTAGAGAAAGAGATAAATGCCATGACATAAAAATTGTAATGAGATATTCTTCAGGTACAAGCTTTGAATGAAACTCAGTTATATAACATAAATATCTATAGTTTACAAGTGTAGG